TTTACATTACTTTTTCTGAAGCTCCTCGGCTTGTTTCTTTGCAAATTCAAGAGCCTCACGTAACAAATTATTTCCTTCCTACATGGACCATATAAGCATTCGCACATCTTCCTTGCTTACTGGTTCAGGAAAGTCATCCATGGCATCGAAAAAGATCTCTTCCTCTTCTTCGATAGCATGAATTTCTTCAATAGGTTTGATGAGAGATGAGGGATCAACCTCGTTTTCCTCATCAGAGATTTCCAAGGAATGAGCGAGAGGTGCGTTGTCAATGCTTGGCTTCTTACTGGAAGGGGGAAATGGTAGTTTATTGTTATCAATTAAATCTTGGATAGCTTCCTTAAGCTTCCAACAATTTTCAGTGAGATGGCCCCTACCTTGGTGATATTTGCAGTGTGCATTGGGGTTCCAATTAGTTGTCCTCTTTCCAACTGGTGGGTCCCCAAATGGTCCAATAGGAGTTATAAGACCTTTTGCATTTAGTCGGTCAAATGCGGTGTCATAATTCATAACTATAGGAGTAAAGTTTCTCCTAAATGGTTTCTTTTATCCTTGATTGTTCATAGCAAGGACTTCACTCAAATTAAAGGTGATAACGTTGTTTGAGTGGGTGGTTTTGGAAGAAGAAGGATTATCATTCTTCTTACCTTTCCGGCCACTGTTAGAGTTATTGTTAGCAGCTTTTAGCTTAGCAAGGTCGTCTTCAATGTTAATTCCAATGTCATAGACAACCTTGAAGGTATGCAGATTATTTTGATATTTCAGATGCTTGTAGTAATTATCTTGAAGATTCTTGATAAACAACCTCACATATTCTTTCTCGCTTGGTACTTCAATCATCCTAGCAGAGTTTTCTCTCCATTTGTTGAAGAATGAAGTGAAACCTTCATTCTCTTTCTGCTTGAGTATTTCAAGTTCCCTATAATCAGTTTCAACTTGAATATTGCACTTGTACCTATTAATGAAAGCGTTTACTATTTTCTCCCAAGTAGAGGTCTTCTCTTTGTCAAGGGAGAAGAAGCATTGTTGGCAAACAGTTTCAAGGGATAGAGAAAATAAAGAAGGAAATACTTTCTTATCAATAACCTTAATATTCATTATTGTCTCAAAAGCTCTTAGATGAAAATAAGGGTTGTCAGTTTCCTTGAATTTCGGGATGTCGTTGGCATTGAACTTCTGCGGAAGAAGCTCCTTGTTCACCGAGACCCCTTGTGAGCTAATGCCATGAAACTTGTAGTCACTAGATAGCTTGCTCAAGATTTCTTGCATAAGGTCCATTTGTTTTTGCTTCACAGGGTCATTGATTTTGAGGGTTAAAAGCCTTCAACGCCTCAGTCACGTTAGTCAATTGATTCCTAAGTTCATTGACTTCCTCCTGAGTTGCCATTATCTTCGTAGCTTTCCTTTTTCAAGCGATTGGTTTTTCAAAAATTTGTACTTGAATGACAAGGTTGTCTTTGATCAAACGCCCTTCCTTTCTTGACCACGTGCTGTAAATTAAACCATTTTTTTAATGACTTGAATCAAATTGACTTTGACTTTACGGGTTTATAAAGAAAAAAAGCAAAAATAAAGTGTATATTTTTGGGATCAAGTATATGGTTCAAACAAGTTGTTTAATTAGAGGATTAATATCTGACTTACCCCCCTAAAAAAAATGACGGAAAACACGCGCATACAAGACTCTCTTAGACATGGTCAAAGTGTACATACATATTAGTGTGTGCTTTATATTGTGAGTGCAAGTGACATGCTTTGACTCTTGTGGAAGACCATGGGACTTATTATCTAGACTCAATTAAGGACTTAACAAGAGTAATATTATTAACAAAATGATCGAATTGATTAGAAAACTATTTAATTAGACACATAGTGATGACTCGAGCAACATACCAAACTGTCGCCAAAGCAACAGGACTGTCGTCGCACTTTGCAGTGTAGCGCCAGGCAAAAGAGCTGTCGGCAGGCGCTGCATAAAGAGTGTGGCACTGTAGTCCAAATCGCGACTCCATTGTTGGAACGTTGATCTAGGACTGCTTTCGGTATTATTACTCTACAGGGCATGCCTAAAGTCGTACTAAGTCAATTCTGATTAAATTATTAGACTTTAGTTACTCAAATTAATTAATTAATTAGGAAAAGTTCTTTTAGTCATTAATTAGTTTATTTAGTCTTAACACAAGTCAAAAAAACGGTTAGGAAAAACACATAGAGTATGCACAACAAATAATGCATAATTAGTCAAGTAGGCACAATATGATGTAATGAGTTTGCAACCTAACCATGACTCTAGTTCTCTAAAGTTCGGGATATGGGTTAGTCAAAGAGGGTCTATGGTTAATTTTCCACTGCGCGGAAGCCTTACCTGTTGAAGGGTTGGCGCGAGTGGATGGGACACAGCGAAATAAAAACTCGCTTCCATGGTTTGGTGAATTCAACATTCTCGGATGTACCCTTTGTTGCACAAAGCGTTCAATCAGGTAAATGAAGCATGAATTCCCAGAGGGTTATGTCTGGAACACATATGGGTTTCAAAAAAGTGAGAAAAACTCAATCAAGAAGTAGGATCGAGCAAATAGTGCGAAAAAATAGTAAAACTTAGAACACATAATTCTGGCTCGGTATTGAAAGAACTTGGCGCCAGCGAACAGAGGCTGGCGCCGCAATTTGGCTCTGGCGCTTGGCAACAAGAGTGTCGCCTGGCGCCAAAGTCAAATCCTCGGCGACAGAATATGTTTTATGACGCTAGTTCCTACATGCCTCAGTAGTTTTCTGTGCTAAATAAAGTTTTCCAGTTTCGTACAACATTATTTCGATCCTAGTTGTGAAAGATATTCCTCAAAATTTCCTACGTGTAAAAATCCTATGTTTTAACTCATTACAGATGGTCTTTCTAATGAGATATTTTTTTGTGCATATGACAATAATATTAATCAAAATTACGCAAATGAAATACTTAGAACTTTTTGAGTCTCATCCACTCATTCTAAATCATTGTCAAAAAAAATTTCAGGAATTAAAATAGAAATCCTCCTCAACGAAGTCGCCAAAAACTGTAGGGAATATTTCAAGCATTACCCCTAGCTTGAACCCCCACTGTGATCATACACTTAAGCATGGTGGCATCCAAAGGGAAAGAAACTAGAGAAAAAGAGTCGCCAACAAGTTTTAAGAACTTGTAAACCGTTCACGAGGTGAAGGTTACACCCCTTAACGATCTAAGAGATCGTCAAATCCAGTATGTCTGGAACCATGACTGAAAGTCGGGGATGAAGGTACAAATTCAACCTAAAAGATATTGAACCTGCCCTAATAATAGGCCTCTACTTTATTCTGGTCGTATTCATGTGCGCTTTCTGACTAATATGCAATCAATAGGATTAACCCTAAACCTGTTTAATATATTTTGGTTGAATATTAATGCACAAATAAATCTATTATTGGCGATCACTTGAATTATAATCAAATTAACCCTAAACAAGGTTATTAATTATCATATTAAGCATGATTACAAGTACCAATTCCCTTTAAACATGCATAAAAGGTGTGATCAAGCAATAACAATAAATATAATCAAGCAACATAATAATAACAATGATAACAATAATAATCATAAAAATCATAATCATAATTATCATAATCATGTTAAAGCATAATATTAACATGATCCTAGGCATGATATTAACAAGATTAATAACAAACCCTAACATGTCACTAAACAATAAAAATCAAAGCTTTAACTATAAAATGATACTAACATGAATATTAGGAAAGAAAATAGAAAGCAACACAAGAATAACAATTGTCATGTTTGATATTAGAAATTATAGCTATTACCTTAAACATGATACTAGGAATCATTGTTGTCATTTAAAAAATCAAGCATCCTAACATGATACTATGAATCATAATAACAACCTAGACATGATTTCTATATCAAAATAACATTGCAAACAATTAAAGCACTTACTTGGATGCCTTGTACCTCTTTCTTATAACAAAATACACACGTTAGTAACTACAAGAAAAATATAAACAAACAATTAATTTAAATAATTGAAAGAGAGATTTGAGACCAAACCCTCAGAAATTAAAAACTTTCACATCTAGGGCGAAGGCAACTTCGAACTTGGCTAGGTGTTTCTAGATCTTGTGAATGCGGAATTTTGTGTGCAAAAGGCTATTTTAGAAAATAGCAAGAGAAAGAGAGAGAGAGTAATCAAGAGATTCTAGATGAGAGTTGGTGATAAGAATTGATGAGAATTGATGATTGAAAACAGAGATTTTAGGAGGCTATTTATAGAGAAAATCAGCCGGATGTGATAAAAAAGGAATCAGAGTTTCAAAAAGAATAAAACACGATCGTAGCGCCTAACACGCACGTGTCGCCAAACGCTGGATGCAGCGCCACACGCCAGACATAGCCCCAGACGCCAAGCGCTGGTCCTGTCGTCAGACGCTGGAAATAAATTTTCACGCATTTTCATAATTTGATAAAATTTAGCCGTACGAGAGGGAAAAATCATATTTTCCTTAAAAACAGCTCTTTTATTTTGATTAAAACTCCTAAAGTCAATTTATCAATGCTAATTAAATTAGGAATGAAAAGAACCTTATAGAAGAATCTAAAAAACTATAATCAATTTTAATTGCATTAGGAATGATAAATCAATATTAGGCCCTCCTCTAGATCATTGGGCCGTATATAAAGATAAAACCGGGCCCAATTTAGTAATTTGGCCATAACTTCCTCATTATTCATCGGAATTGGGCTTATAATATATCGTTGGAAAGCTCTTTTCTAACCTAACCCAAGTACACTATTATTGGACCCTTTCCATGGACCAAACCAAACTGGATTGACTGTTTTCTTAAAATAGGTTTTCAAAAACAGAGGGAAAGAAAATAAATAAAAACTAACCGCAACACTAGACTTTCCACACTTTCACTTCATTCAATTTTGATTCGACGTGAAAGGTAGTCATTATTGAGTTTGGTTTTTGGGAGACACAAATGGGTGTCTTCAGTCACAATCTGATTCCGTCGTTAACCTTGGCTGACCATCGTTAATTCTTGACTTATAGAATTTTACCCATAACAATTTGCTCCTAATTGCTAAATATGGACAACTAGATACATTTTTTTCAACTAATAAAAATAAAATTTGAAAACAAAAATAAGAAAATACAAAAGAAAAAGACAAAAAGCAAGATAGCAAGACCGTCGTTTTTCTTAGGGCGCACTTACCTTTGAGAAGTTATTTCAACTTCCCACTCTTCCGTTAACCGTCACTTCAAGCCTTTATTACCGATACACATTTTTGCGCTTCCCCAAGTTTCTACACACTATATCTCTTCTTTCTCTCTCATTTGCTCAAGTTTCTCAGGCAATTTCGAAGGCGATCAGTTGTGTCTTGCGGTTTCTTGCTCTTTCTTTCAGGTAATTACTTCAATTTCTTGTCTTAGTAGTTTAATTTCAGCGAATGTCAATTAAAATTCCCAAAAATAGATCTAGGTTTTCACTTTGAGTTGTTGAAAAAAGGGGGCCAATTATTTCAGAAAAAGAAATGGTGACCAAAGTGGAATCATTGATGACTCCGGCGATGAAAGATGAATTAGTGAAGATGGCTAGGTTTCTTGATAGTGCTTTTGCTCATATTTTGGGGAAGGGTAATAGAGAAGAAGATTGTCCCAAGGGTTACGTTGTGTTCTTTAGATACCCATTTGTGGAACCGAAAGCGACATTCCCTTTCAAACCCTTAACTAGGTCTTTCTTTGAATTGCTGGGGCTGAGTCCAGGGCATCTTATGCCATCTGGATGGAGAATTATTTCAATTGTGGAGGAAGTTACTAAGGATTGGGAAGATAAATTTACCTTAGAGGATTTGGTGGAGGCCTATGACATAAAGATAAGGAATTGTCATTTTGTGAGCTTATTTAAGAGAGGGGAGCCACTGGTATTGAATACAGATGTGAATGACAGGGGCTGGGCTAATCACGTTGTCTTTGTTAAAAAGACTTCTTTGGGTGTTGAAGGAGCATGGTTAACAGAAAGGTGGCTAGAGGATGGTAAGTGGATTTTTCGTGACTTGGTTTGTTTAGACTAAAGTAATCAGAATGTTTGATATTGCTTTTGATCGTGTAGAGCCTGCCTTTGATTTTCTTGAGCCAACTGAGAATTCTCAGGACAAGGTTAGACGGTTCCTCGAAGTCGACAACCAAAAGAGAACGTTTGTGAGGGTCAAACCATCTTTGGGTGATCCGTCGGGTCATAAGCCAAAAGATTCTCCGGTTGTATCTCAAGGGATCGAGGATTCGGAGGAGACGATGTCTACTCGAAAGTGGTCAATGTTTCTTTGTCGTTGCTAATGTCGTTACTTTTTTCTTTTGCTAAGCCGTTTGTTCATTGTTATCGTATTTTATCAGAATCAACAGCGTAAGGAGATCGTCGTGGACGGAGCATGTCTTAGGCTGATTAGGACCTTAAGATGATGAGGAAGTGGGGTCTGTCACCTCAAGAGCAGACACAGTCGTTGGCGGTCGACTAGACGAAGCATCTTCATACCTCGTCGCCATAAAAGGTCGGAGATGAGTCTGCGACCATTACTTTTTCTCCGTCTCCTCCACGCAAGCAACAGAAGAGCGAGGATGCTACTGCGATTCCTATTGTTGAAGAACGCTTTCCAGTAGATTCCTCAGTCTGCATAGAGAGAAGCATCATTCTTTGTTTCTGCTGTTAGATCAGCTTTTGTTTCCTGGGTCTAGGTAAAGCTTGGCTGGGACCTCTGCTTTGGAGATAGCCTCGGAGGCTGCTACTGCTCATCTCTATGTAAGTGATTTTCATTTTGTTTTGGTTTTCTAGTTATTGCAGTTTTGTTTGTGGTTTGGTGATATGGGAGGTATTTGAGCAGTGTTTGTAGAATTCACTAGTTTTGAGGGAGAGGGTGATCGGATTGGCTAAGGAAATGAAAATGTTGGATAATGCTGCGAAGGATGCCGACTCAAAACGTCAAATTGCCACGAGGACGTTTTAAATGACCAAAATGGAGCTTGACGATGTGAAGAAGAAGGTGCATAAGCTGGAAGTTCAGTTGGGAGAGAAATCTAGGAAGGTGGATGAACAATCTCAGCAGTTGGATGATCAGGACAAGCATCTAAAAGAGCAGGCTCGACAATTGGTAGACAAGGTTACTGTGATCAAGGCTAATGAGGAGGCTTTGTCGAAGGCACAGGAAGGGCTGTCGTCGGTGAAGCAGGAATTGGAAGACGCTTTGGACGACAATGCGGAGTTAGAAATTAAGGTTAAGCCTCGGAGTGGCATCTACAAGAGGACAATCGTTTCTTAGCCAATGGCAGAACCCTTGACGAGCTGAGGGATTATGTTGCTGTAGCTTCGACTGTAGACTCAGGGTTGGCTCCATCGATCACTGCTCCTTTAGCCATCATCGTCGTCGAAGCTCAACCTACTGTTGTCGGGAAACAACTTGAGGAAGATGTCGAGGTATTACCTTCGACAAACTAAGGCATTGATGACAATGTTCGTGCCGAGGACGTTGTCAACGAGCCGATCGTCGACGAAACTGGTGTCGATGCTTGATTGGCATCGTCAGTGATGGTTTGTTTTCTTTGTGTATTTTGGACAAGTTTGATTTTGTTGGAGAAATGTGCTTTGATTTGTTTTTTATTTTTGTACTTTGTTCCACTTGAGGGCAACTGGTTTCTTTTGAACATATTCGTATGCTTTGACGTTGTTACTTTATGGTATTTTGCTTTCCACTATCATTATTTTGTCACTGCTGTGTATTCTGTAAATCCAAAAGTGTTTAGAAAAGAACTTAGAAAAGAGACTAAGTAAAAGATTAAAAAAAATAAAATAGAAAGGGTACATGTCGAGAGTTTAGAAGAAATCGTCAAAACATAAAAATAAGAAGCTTTTATTAATCTGTTAAAGAAGCTTAAGTGCAAAAAGTATTTTTAATTTTTTGCTCTAACTGTACAATGCTTTTGTCGGGGGCTTTGCATTTGAAAATGCCCCTTGCATCCCGGTGTCAACGTTGAACACTGAAGACTAGCTCATGGTTCAGGTATCGGATGTTTGGCGTCTGATGCTAAGGTTAGATTTGCCCTGGGCTTCGTCATGATTTGAATGATATCTTTTGAACAACAGCTTTCCTCACCCTTTTTCTAGGATGTTAGTGTAGTTGACGTCTGTTGTTTTCTTTTGTCAATTGTACTTATCGTCGTGCCTGTTGATTTGCGTACTTTATCAATCGATGTTCTGCAAAACCAACATGGTTAGAGTACCGTTAGCAATTGGCACGGCCAACGGCCCTCCGATGCTTAAGTCAGTACACTTAATCGAAGAAATTAAAATAAAATAAATATTTTAATCGAAAGGAATCAATTTGTAGTTTGCTAAGGTATTACCTTTTCGTCGATGGACACTTTTGACGATTAACTAGAATAATACTTTTGGAGATGAGTTGCGTTTCAACTCCTTGGAATTGGGTTATCTTGTTGGTTGGTCAGTCGATAAGAGACATTCCCGATGACTTGGGTGATCTCGTAAGACCCTTCCCATGGGGGAGCAAACTTTCCATCTGCGGGATTTTTTGTATTTTGGAACGCCTTCCAAAACATCCAGTCACCTAACTGGAACGTCTTTGCCTTAACATTTTTGTTGTAGCATCTTACGACGATTTGCTACTATGCTTCCATCCTTATCAATGATGTTTCCCTTAGCTCTTCAGTCACGTCCAAGCTATCTTCCATTTCTTCTTGGTTCCTGTCTTCTGTCATGAGCCTAAAACGGGATGTCGGGAAGTCAACTTCTACTGGGAGGACGGCTTCGCAAACATAAACCAAGGAGAAGGGTGTTTGCCCCGTTATAGCCTATGACGTTGTTCGATTGGCTCACAAGACTACTGGGAGCTCGTCGGCCCATTTTCCCTTTGCTTCCTTCAGCCTTTTCTTGATGGCATTCATGACTACATTTTTGCAGGACTCGACTTGTCCATTGGCTTGAGGATACCTCGGCGTCAGCGTCCTCAACTCTATGCGGAATTTCCTGCAAAATGAACGAGTTTTGTCGCTAATAAACTGTGATCAGTTGTCACAAACTATCACTGACGGGATGCCAAACCTGCAAATGATGTTATTCCATATAAACGAAATAACTTCCTTATAGGCTGATGGGCAGTCAACGACATTGAATTTGGTCAAGGGGTTTAGGCCGCCGACAAAGGTTGGAAGGGTTATGTCTCCAAGAGTGGACATATTCTCATCAATGAAACCGACCAAGGTCGTTGACCTTCTGATGATGTCGTTATCTTTTCCCCATATCTTCCATGGTTCTCCGGAATAGAACATTGGCGAAGCTACCTCTGTCGACCAGCACCCTCTGAAGCAGACAATTCCCGACCATTAGAGAAATCACTAAGGAATCTTCATGCTCTTTGTTAATGTTGTTGATGTTGTCGTCGTCAAAAGTAATGACCATAACTTCTAGATTCTTTTCCTGAGGATATCTTAATTCTTCCGTGACATCTGCATTTTCTGTTGGCAATTTTGCAATCCTTTTGGCTGCAGAATAGGTTAGTCCACTAATATCTGAACAACTAGAAATAACATTAATTACTACCTCAGGGAAAAGGTGGCTTTAGGGGCCTGCTCGCTGTCGCGGCTTTGGTTTTTCTGGGTGCGTCGCTTTTCTTCTTTCCGAGCAAATGCTGGAGGTTACCCCTCTTCAGCTAGAACGCGATTTCTCTACGCATGGCATGACAATCTTCCGTCTTGTGACCATGGTCACTATGGAACTCGCACCACTTGCTCATATCCTTTTCTGAATCCGGCTTATTTTTCTTCATTGGACATCGAACTTTGCCACCTAGGGGCTCTAGCTCTTTCACCACCGCTACAATATTCACCTTGAACACATACTCAGATATCTCTAGATATTACGGCGGTTCGAGAATCTTCTCCACCTGCACACTATTAATAGAGCGTGATCGACCTGTTGTTTCATAGGGTTAATGTCGCCATGACCCTCGCGGGGTGCTTGCAGATTTGCGATCAGTCGAGCTTTTGGCATTTTGACTGGAGCTTTGATTTGCGATGTCTTCGTCGAAACGCATCTGGGCAACAGTTCTCACCCGGACCTCTTCAAATGTTGAGCAGGGATATTTGACCATATCTTTGTACATATCTGAATTTATATGCAATCCTCGGAGGAAGGCTTCGATGGCAGTCCGATTATCGATATTTTTTATTGACACCTTTTCTTTGTTGAAATGGGACCAATAAGTCCTGATGCTTTCCTTGGGACCTTGGACGATATTATACAAGTCGCTTGTCTGCTTGTCGAACTGCCTGCTGCTTTCAAAATGGGAATTAAACTTGTTAATTAACATAGAAAAGCTAGTGATACTACATGGTTCAAGCTTGCCAGCCATTTGAGGGCGGGGCCACTCAGCGTCGCGCCAAAGGACTTGCACATGCACGCCTCCCAACACTCGAATGGGATCGAAGCTTGCCACATCCTCTGCTTGTAATACTCGACATGCGGCTCTGCACAGGTCATCCTATCATAAAGAAACATAAACGTCGGGAACGATAATCTTCTGGGAATTCGGGCTCTGGATAACTCATCACTGAAGGGAGTCGCTGCAAACCCATCGGGAGCTTCTCTCTGGACGGGGATCGGGACACCTGGCATCCTCTTCATCATCGACAAACCTTGGAATTCTGCCTCTCTAAAGCGACTAGCCTTTGGAGCAGGATCTCAGTCTGATTGGGTTCACGATTATTGGCTTGCTGCTCTCCTAGAGTCTGGAAATTTCCTTGCTGCCCATTATTCCGGAACGGATGATCCGTCTGCATTTCCCCATTACTGGATTTAGTATCGGTATCATGCGGAGATTCCACTATATCCAAAGTCGGCATTCTCAGGACCAGACCCAGCTGCCTTGAATGGCGACGATGATTGCTCTTAGCCGACTCTAGTTGCTGACGGAGATCAGCCGCGTCAGATTTCGACGCTACCTTTTCCTTGCTCAGACGCTCATTGGATTCCCTAGCTATTACGAGGTCGGCTTGAGCTTTCTCATAGTCTTCTTTTAGCTGTTTTGGGGTCATTTCGCTGGAAGACATATTGAAGGCTAGGGTTAGGGTATTTTTGGATTTTATCTAGTTGTAGCCCCACGGTAGGCGCCAAATTGTTTATGCTAATTTTCATTAGGTGGGATTGAATATCAAAACATAGGCTACGAATCAACTAAATAAAACCGTGAATAAAGTAAATGCAAAAATGAAGAATCGACACAAGGAATGTTGACGCGGAAAACCCAATAAAGGTAAAAATCGCGGGTAGAATGAGGATCTACCAAACTTTTACTATGCAAAAATACTTTGGAGAACAATTTACAATGAATATTTAGAATATGTGAATAGCTAGGTTGCAATGAGTGTTTCGTCCGTCGATCCCCCCTTCTTATATAGATCTCCCCTAGGGCTTTACCCTAGCCGTTGCAAGGTGATAAGTTTAGCTCCTTATTTTCATGAACTCAGTTGCTTCAACTTTCCTTCAAATTTTCCCACTAACGATCGCAGGCGGCGGAGCATAGACTTAGTCGTTTAACCTTCATCTCCTCGTAGAATATAGGTTGCGGTTATTGACCACTTCTTTCAATAAAGCTAACTACCTTTCGCGCCAAGTCTGGGTCTTCGTCACAATCTGATTCCGTTGTTGACCTTGGCTAACCATCGTTGACTCTTGACTTACAGAATTTTACCCATAACAGACATGTACCATATCCAAACTCAGACTCAGACCCATACTCTAGGCTCTACCAGATCAACTTTCCACTAACTTTAAATTTTTTTTATAATTAATACGTACTTAGATTAATACAAGAGTTTCTCTAAATTCGCACTTTATCTCAAAACTCACTCTAGATGAACTTATCCTCTAAAAATATATTTACTTTTTAAAAATATCTTTAAGGGAAAAAATAATAAGAATAAAACTAACTATGAAAGGCCTTCTCATTTTAATCCCACTTATAGTTTAACTCGGATTAATCTCAACTATAAAGATATCCTTCTCATAATTGTCCAAGTTACCTACTACTTGTTCAATAGGTAAGTTTTTCAACACCCAAGAACTTTCTCTCTCATAGTCTCATGTACTAGACTACACCATCACTGATTCGATCACCGCCAAAATTAGCAACCAAGTGACTACAACTGTCTTTCTCTTCAATTAAGCAATTGTAGATACGAGTAGATAATTTTGCCAAATTAAAATCTATAATATTGTGCACCTTCTATGATTGGTATCTTTTAAAGGAAGAAAATAAAGTGGATATGAACATCAATCAACTCTTTTTAATTTTTCTCAATTTTAAGGTCCATCCCTCCATTCTCGCTCGAAGAGTCGAAGTCAATTAGTCATTGCATCAATTAAATAATTTATGATGAGCTAACCAATCAATTGCGAAGGTCAACAATTCATCGTTATATATTTAAGGCTAATCTTGTCCGATAATCGATGTTGAAGTTGGTGATGTCAAAGTGGAAGAAGAGGACAATGATGTAGTTAAGAGTTTAGCAATAACTTGATTTTTTGATAAATTAATTGACTAGTTTAAGTATTTATTTTTTTTAAAAAAGCTAAGAAACCTATATATATCAAATAATTGAGAAAACCAAATAATTCTTGTAAGCTTGAGATAAAGGTTTAACCATTTATGATGGATGAATCCAAAAGGGGGAGAGAAATT